CCTCCCCGGGCTCCAAACCCCACCCTCCCCCACAGTCCCCCACACCTTCACAAACACCACCCTCCCACACATGCATTTAAAAATAGCATCTCATGATTTACATTCCAAATCTCTTGATTTTTAAGAGTTTGTCTCATGATTTTGGACACGGTGGGGTTGGCAATACTGTTGCAAGCTTTGAGGGACTTCTGCCTTGACTTGTCCATTTTCCACAGAGTGCAGGGGTAGATCAAGCTTTTTTATGCCCAGAAATAAAGGCAGCAGGCCAATTCTTGTCCCAGAGAGTGCGGCATATTGGAGTTTTATTCTTTGCTGCCTGAATCTGTTTGTAGCCACCTGGGTGAGATGGGCGCAAAATGCTACCAGAGCAGAATTCGACACTCTGCTTGCTCTCCCCTGGACTACCTGGGGCAGTCAGCAGTTTGCTGGGTGCTGTGTTTGTCAGCACTGGTTTTCTAGCAAGGGGATTTCCTGGATTTTTTTATCCAAGTGGAAAAGGCAACCCCGCAGGCAGGCCACCTGTGGGGGACAGCGCGTCTGCATCTGAACAGGTACCTCTGCAAAGTATCTCATTCCGTCTATGGTGTGTTCAGAACCACTGGTCTCCAGGTCCAGCCCGCCCCAGTGAAGGTGCATCTGGACAGCAGTGAAGCGGCCTGGGAGTCCTTTGGTGATGCGCATGGTGGGCGGCAAATCAATCTGGACTGAAAGGCAGAATCAGGGAACAGCATGAAATCAATGGAAATGGACGGAGCTGGGCCGGGGTGGTAGCCATCTATGTACTACAGGGTGTTGCCCCTTCTGCTGAGAGCATCTCAACTGAAGTCAAGGCAAGGTCTCCGGTAAAGCATGTAGATGTGTGATCAGTGCCAGTGAAGTCATCGGACTCTCTGCAGCCTGCTAGGCATGGGTTTAAGTTCTTCCCTTCCCACAAATCATACAAGTGTTGCTAAGAGCAATTATGCAAGCAGCTTCTATTTAAGTTAAGCAATTATGTGAAGGAGACTGGGACTAGCAAGATCAATTGTGAGTGTGCAAAGCACGGTAGGAAATTCCTCCGGTCACCATTAGCAACTAAGACGTGTCTAAGGGTCTAGGGTAGAGGAAGTGACCTCTCCTGTATCTGCGATGAAAGGAGTTGTTGGTATATCAGCCTGGCATGCCTAATAAATAGCAAGTACTTGATCTTTCCACAGCAAACTGCATAAAGTAGCATTAGGGTAGCAGAGAGGTTGCTCCTGAAATTCTGTCTACCTAATTGCTGCCAGCCTATTCAGAGCTTTGGCTGTCTGAAGCATGTCCTAAGTTTGGGCTCTGCCTCAGGGAAGCACTACCATGATGACAGTGACTCTGGATTAGAAGGGAAAGTCTCTCCTTTACAATAAATCCTTTCCCCAGCCTCCCTCATAGCAGCAGGGCTGCAGGCCACTTAAAATCCCTGTAGGCAGGTTGTTCCCCAGGCCTTGGTGATAATGAATTAATCCTCAGCCTTTACATGTGCCTTTCATTTGACGGGGCTCTGTGCAGTTTGCTTAGCAGCAGTGTGTCCATTTTACAGATGAGAAAAGGGAGGCACAAATGAGTTAAACATCCTTGCCCCTGATCATACAGTGGGGAAAAGGTTCATTCCACCTCTTGCAACAATGTACAAACTCAAGGGACCCCATCCCACAGGGGTGGGCATGATAGGCCGAAATAAATCAATTATTCTGAGAGAATACGAGGAAAAAGTTTGCGGAGACCATTTTGGATGGTTGAAAGAGGATCATTGGAGTGCCCGATACAGGAAGCACACTGGTAATTATTACACCACACATTACCTTTGCAAAAACAGTATCTACTGAGAGATGCAAATCCTAAATATTTGCTTTCCTGTTGAGGTACCCTGCAAGCCAGAGGGTCACATTGGTAATGTGTGTTCTTTGTTCTGTTTAGGTTGAACAGAGATACCCACCTTGTTCTCCCTAACAGTAAATCCCAGCAAGTTACAAAAAGCTTTTCATTCCTTAGAAATAAACACAAGCCCCGATTCATAATGTTATGTTTTGGATGCAGAAGGAGAAAGGATCCTTTGTTCAGGCAGACAAGCTAAAAACATGGCTCTTTCTAACATGCCCAGAGCATCAATGTTGTGTTGCAAACAGCTCCATTGCTTATTGTGTAGACACATGCTAACTCTTGTTTCATAATTAGGGGTATTTACTTTACCAGGGAACTCATTATAGGTTGTTCACTCTGCAAAGCAGGGGGCGAAAGCAGCTGGGAGCATGCGCTAGGGACAAAATCCTGTCTGCCGTGTAGCTGAGAATACACTGCTAAGACAGCGCGAACATACCTGAGGGCTGATTCTCCTGCAGCTGTCACCCAGTATAGTCATTTACCTCTGAACTGGTAGAGTCTCACACCTCCTTTGCTCTCATTTGACACAGAGAGCAATCAGGTTCTGAGTTGTCCGTCTATACCCGACTGCAGGAGCTCCAGCATCTGGGCAGAGGTCTTACAGTTTTCATACTGCCGCACATCACTGTAAAGCCTGAGCTCAGACTAGGCATGGCGTAACTTGGGATACTGCCCACTACAGGATGAAAACTCAGGGCTTTGTGTGCCTCTACGATTGGTCTCCACAAGGGACAAATAGCTTAACGCTACTGCGAGCTAATGCCGATTCATCTTTAGCATGAATTAGCCTCTGCAAAATAAGTCAGTCTTTAGACTGCATAAGAATGAGCCGATAGGATTTGGGTAAAATGCTTGTAATCGTCTGTGGAAAGGTAGCGTGTGTCCTGGAGGGAGGTGGAAGAGGCATGTCAGCTGGGTGCCGAGAATTTCCCAGCGTCAGGCCCCATCCCTCAGAGTGCCGACTGCCCTTTATTCCCCTGGATCAGCACAGGGTGGGATCATTCCCTTAAGAAGGCAAGAGCTAAATGCCAAAATGCTTACTGCAGGGATTCCTAGGCAGGGGAATGCTAGGATACTGATGCCCTGCATTGAGGCCAGTCCCTGATGCATGCCTGCTGCAGTAGTGCCAATGGAGTTTGTTATAGTGAAATGTGCCCCAGGAATTATACAAGTCAATAAACTCACAGATAGTACTTTGTACAATTCAGGTCTATTAAGGTCTTATGTGTCCAAGGAGAACCTTCCTTCCCCCTGCATTTCGCTGTGCTTAGTCTCTCTTGATGTTGCCTAGGGAAAGATTTTCCAGGAGAAAGATAAGACAAGCCACTCCCATGGGGTGCTGAAGGGTGGCTCTAGGATTTGGCCTGTGTCCCTGATTTAAAATGCCCTGGGTGATGAAGTGAATATCTGCATGTTGACAAGAATGTAAGAAAATACAACTATGCAATCAGAGCCTGGAGAGAGAAACTGGGAAGAATTAATTTGCAAGTAGAGGAGCTGATAATGTCAGCACCAGAAGCTTCAACAGGAATAGTTGGGGGCCCTGGTTCATTAATGATTCTTAGAAATACAGTCACAGCTGCCTTTCTTTAGAGACAGCATGTCTCACTGCTCTCTGCTCCCCACTTCATGTCTCCAGTTTTCCTTTGAGCAAAGAGGAATGAAAGAAGGTAAGATAAGAGTGCTCCAACCATCTTTTATTAATAGACAGATCTTTCTCCCCCTCAATGCCAGGACATTCCTTACTAGCCACTCACTTGTAACCCAAGCCCATCCTCTCAAAGGCCCCTAAGTGATGCATCAGGCAGCATTTTACAGTAGGCCAAGTGCTGGGCTGGGCAAGAAGCCAGGAGTCCCTGAATTCCAGCCACGGCCCTGAGCTGGGAGGTGATTACAGGCAAGTCACTAAATCCACTGGGGGCTTCAGTGTCTACCCTGTAGAAGTGGGAACAGCAATATTTACCCACTGCCAGTAGGGTTATGTGATCTGTTCATGTTTGTATGAAAGGGCTCTCAGGACTGCCTTGTCCTTTATGTTGCTGTTTGCACCTGAATGCAAATTACCCCTGAATTAGAATTTTCTAGTGAAAGCACAGGTGGCTTTGACTCGCTTACCGTGGGTGCAAAATGACGACATAAAGCTCAACACAGTCAGAACAAGTCCCACTAAGTACTAGGTAGTATGAGAAGTCTAGCGACATTCCTAGGCGCTGCTGGTCTTTAGGGCTAGGGACAGAAGTTACACAAAAACCGGCTTAAGTGATCAGAAACTGGTTTAAACCTGTAACAAAATAGAAGTTCAGTGCATGTAAACCAGATTCAAAATGGCTGAAGCTGGTTTAAGATAAACCTGGTTGAATGTAGTATCAGGCTTCAGTGATTTAGGTCAAACCGGTTTGTGAAACTTCTGTCCAAGACCCCTTCCTGGTTCAAGTTAAATCTGAGTCCCCCAGCATCCCAGCATGCTCTGCAGCCCTGGGCTGGGTTGTGCCGTCTGCTCCAGAGAGGAGGCTGGAGCATGCAGGGGCTGGCTCACTGCACCCCACCCCCCCCGGCAACCCCCAACTGGGGTCTGCAGCCAGGGAGGGTGGTTAAACTCACCTTCCCCCCAAGTACAGAGATGCCCTGCTGGCTTACTTTGTGCTGGCTGTGCCTCTGAACTACAAATCCCAGAGGCACCTGGAAGCAGGAAGAGGAAGTGATGAACAATCCTGTGGAGTCCTGCTGCTGTGATTGTGGATTGCGAATCCCAGAGACCTCCGGGCAGCCGGAAGAGAAAGCAAATATGCAGCCCATGCTGGCTACGTGCCAGAGAGCCGTGCTGTAGCAGCCCCCGGTTTCTGGCCTAAGCCACTACAGGCATGTGGTTGCATTTCCTGAATCAAAAGTGAATGTCTGTTCATTTGTTTATTGTTTCAATCTTTGCAGCTTAGACTAACCTGCAAAGACTGAATCAATTCGGCCTCAGACATTTTGACTGTCTGTACTTAGCCTAGGAATGATACTGTATGTGCCCTTTTGAGGAATGAAAAACTGCATCTTCTTTCTGTTGCTTATACATATGCTGCTGACAGGGTTTCCCACCAGGGAGGGGAAAAAAAAAAAAAAAATCAGCAAAATTTGGAGAATGGAATGAAATGAGGTTACAAAGCAGAAAGCTGAAATAGCTGAAGTGAGAAGGGGGAGGCTTGAAAAAGAAAGACAACATTGTGCATGTCAGTAAAAATAAAAACAAACCAAAACTTCCAAGTGTCAAAAGGTTACCTGCACGTGTACACGCTGAATAATCCTCTAAAGTGTTTGCTCTGCGAGGAGAAAGAAAACTTCCTAACCAACTGGCAGGAGGCAATGCTGCTGCCAGCCAGCTCCTGCACTGGGATGGGCTGGAGGGAACATACCTGCTACTCAGCCGTCCATAAGAGGGCTGCAGGGTGTGTTGGCCTAGTAAGGAATACCTAACTATGACAGGATGCCTAAATTAATCCGAGGTACACGTACCTCCTTATTAGATTACTGCCCTGTTGTATTGAGTACTGCATTACAGTCGTATCTTCAGTGTGGCAGAAGACATAGAGGAACTTGATTAATTCAATGTTACATTGTCCTGTATGTACAGAGATAGACACAGGACCCATATCTGCATCTAAGCACACAAAGTAAAAAAGCACCTGAATTCATACAGTTCTTTGATCTCTTCTGCTTGCACTGAATTTGCTATACTACCTCCTACACTGTACAGCTCAAACCCCAGTGGATGTAGCCCAAGCCCTAACTGTTATTTCAAAAGGAAGGACAGCATCTGGTTATATAATCACTACCAGCAAAGTTACCCGAGGCAGGGTTTGCTGTCCCTTCCAACTTGCTACAAAGGGTGGGTCTGATCCTGCAGGATAATGAGTCCCCAGTCACATCAGTGTAATATGACAGTCAACAGATCTGAAGAAAGTGGATGGGGGGTTCAAGAGGAGCCTAGTTTAGGTGACCTTGGGGTCTCAGGAAGGCAAAGTGGTGACCACACGACCACTGGACAAACATTGTCCTAGGGCATGCTCAATAAAGAGCATCTCCTTGGCCACTTT